TAGTTACTCATCAATGTATTTGATTTTTCCAAGCCCGTTCCCTTGGCTGTGGTTTCGCTAGATAGTAGATAGGGACAGTGGGAATCTCGTTAATCCATTCTGTGCTATTTCATAAAAATGATGCAAATGCCATCCCTACTATCTTGTTTGCATTGTTTTGAAGGATTGATATTAGTAAAAAAGTTGTACAGTTTTATGCTTAACAACAAACAAACTATTCAGAATTTAGTATATTTTATTCTGCAGGCTAATAAAATTTTATATTATAAATATTAGTATATAATGGGTTGTAGGAGATGTCATGCATAATTTTCAGCGGAGTCTCTTAAGCATTTATGGATGTCTTACTTTTCATTCATTATTCTCATGTATCTTTTAGGTGATGCAGCCTCTACAGAAACTGTTTCTTAAAATCATTTATAGAAAACCATTTTTTTTTGCTGTTATTTGAATATCATCGAGCGTATAGTCATGTTTCAAGTTAAGATAAAATTATAGTGGTGTAAAACATCTAAGCTAACGAAGAAGTGTGCCGTTTTTAGTCTTAACAAAAGTAGGAGAAATCATGTTTTGTCAGATGTATTTTTTCTCACTTTCCTTTAACTAGTCCAATATATATTTCAAATAAAATAAAATAGGGTTCAGATTAATTTTTGTTTGCCACAAGTCACTGCTCACTAGGCCTCTCGTTCATTGCCAAAACACACCAGCTCTGTTTAGTTCATTTACAAGTTCTTCAAACTGAAACTGTATTATTTATTTATTACTTCTTGTTCAAGTTTATCTTGAAACATTTGGTGTTATTAAGGGTTTACGATATAGTTCTCAAGTACATGTAGGTCATGTATCAATCTAATTTCTACCTCAGTGGAAATTGGTTTTCCGTAGTTTTTACTGTTTCTTCCTTTTTATCTTAAAGTGACTTTTTTTTCTGAACCTTTCCTTCCTCTTCGCCTTACGATGTTCCTTTTTATGTTTTATAAGAAATTATAAGAAATGTTTGAAAGAATACCTTGGAACTTACTCAATATGTTTTCGTGCCTTCAAAAACTTTTTAATTTAGTTGTTTTTGCTAATTCGCATTAAACAATGTGAGTCTTGTAGATATAAAAAGTGGTTCCTAAGAAATGACGCTCTTAAGTTTGTTTTAGATTTTTGAACAATATAATCGTCATAATGCTATTCAGAAAAAGGTGAATAAGATATAGTTTTATAAATTTTTATTAAAATCAAAACTTACTTTCCATGTATTTAAATATACCTATAGAGGAGTTTTTGTATAGTTTAAAAAAATAAGTAGAACATAAATAGAACTATTAAGGTTAAAATATTGCAAATATAAAATATAAAACAATAACTTGAATAGATAAAAATGCATAATATAGACTTAGAATACTAAGAGTTATTGAAACTATTTTTAATATTTAATTTAGTCGTCATTTACAATGTATTCAGCTCAAAGCTTCATTTAATCATTCCATATGTTTTGATTTTAATTCAAGTATTCATTTACAGAGTGTTTATTATAGGTTTTACTTAGTCCTTGCTTATAACACATTAATTTGTTTTACATTTTATGTGTTTTTCACTTACAAATTGTTTTTTATTTCATTTAATTTTTTACTCCCATAAGTTTCATGTAATTTATATTAGGCAGGCGGCAGTACTGTCTATGTAGGAACGGTTCAGATTGTTCATCAAGATGGTACTTTAGATATCTCCTCAATAGGTCACCAGAACTTTACAATCCTATACAGTGTTTCTTTTTATAACAATATCTAGCAAAGGAGTAAAGAAAAAAGTCCTCAAAAATAGGAAGTAAATATAGAGATGGCTAATACCAAAAACAATGCTAACAAGATAGTAGAGATGGCATTTGCATCATCCCTACATAATAGCACAGGAAAGAATTAACATATAGAATTATATATAACTATTCAATCACAATTGAGTTAATTATCCTACTTT